TTCCAAAGCCCAATGGTACATTTGTTTAAATAGCTGTGAGAATATTTCACAATGATGTCTGCATGACTGAGAGGACTGTCAATCATCTGTCATACATCCTACTGGAAATGACGTGCTGTCTCAAGCAAACGCCCATGACTTGCTTTGCAACAAAAAGTAAAAGAGCTGAAACATGTTAAACCAAAGCTCATCCTTTGAGCTCACTCTGTGAAATGTCACCTCATCAGTTCATTTGAATACCTGGAACCTCTGTGATTATTCATTTTATCCACTTTCCCGTCTTGAATCAATTTAACGCTCTTTCCACACAAATTATTTTTGTGCGACTGAGCAAGGATATTTAAATTGGAAACCTTCAAATGTATGTGTTGTTTACAGACACACAACCTTTTGTCTGGAGAAATGACTCCAAAACTAAAGCAATAAACTCCGGCGTACTATTGAGCCAGAAGGTAGATGGAAGCAATTTAAAACGCTAATATAACTGGAAGTAAGAACACATTTTGCTGTTGCACACAGATTTGGCCTCAGAGGGGACAGACTGTAAAGACATCTAAGTGACATCTGAGGATTACCCCAACAACAGCTCAGTGGTTACAAAGAGGGCACAGCCTGAGCTCCAGTACATGGAGGGGCACTTTGAAGTGGCGATAAGGCTGTGAGCTTTGCACCCAGAGCTTCTGAGGCTCTGCCCTCTCCACCTCAGTCGGAGCATAAAGATGTGGTGTGGCAGCTTTGCTGACTGGACACTGCTCCAGTTCCGCCTGTCCAATTAGCAATGTCTTCTTACCCCTGAGGACTGGTCCCTTTCTGCTTGGCTTAGCTCGCTGCATGTGGGCCATATCACCTACATGTGCAGTCAGTCTGTGTCACGACAGCACTGCCTGTTGGACTAAATGCACAAAAAGCACGCCATGTCCATGCTAAAGACTACTTTTCTGCCCCTCTTTTACCCCTAAACGTCCATCTTTAACCTAAGCGTACTTGGTCTTTGTTGTCCTCTTCAGTCAGAGGGTTTATTGCAAGCTCATTTAGACCATCATCGTCACCACTCACCCCAGAGCATGGTGCCTTTTATTTCTCTTTTATGTGCATATAAAAGAGAGCCACTGAAATCTAAAACAAGTGACTTTCAAGTTCAAGAGTGGTGTGACTTCTAAAGGCTTCTGATCAAAGGGTTCAGTGGGTTTCACATGTCAGTTTTACTGGATGGTGCCATTTTAGATGTGATTCATCGGCCCATTGCTCAAGTGGAAATCTCCAATGCCATCTTTGCATACCCTTTGGATAAGAGAGCTTGTTAATTTGTACCTGGAACTTTCTTGGTCCATTATAAAGGGCTTACTGAAAAAAGAATGCATGTTGTACCCTCCTTTAAAGGTGGGGTAGGTAAGTTTGAGAAACCGGCTCGAGATACACTTTGTGTTATATTCCATGGAATGCTCTTAACATCCCGATAGCAATGAATATCTTAAGTGCTTTGACAAAAAATCCATAAAAAAATGTCATCTGTGGAAGCCGTAATACTGTAAAAAGCACTACCAATCATTTTAGCCGGCCCGGCTAAAATAACTGGATGGCCGACCTGCCTGTCAGCCTTCCATCTGTGCACAAACTTATCTCGTGCCCTCATTGGTCATGTGTGCGTTCGTGTGTGTTGGAGGAGGGGCTCTGTAAGGAAGTGGCAGATTTGTTCCGGCTGTGTATTTTAAAATTCTAGCGCACTCGAGCTGGTTTCTCCAAAATTACCTACCCCACCTTTAAGTTTAAGCAGATGCTCAGGTACTCCTGAAAGATTAGTACGCCATTTTAGCAATACAAATTGTTAGAGCCAGCAGACCGACAAACAAACAACTAATTTTGGTAGCATTTAAAGGGTCTTTTTCAGTATAAAGTTGTACTAGGCTCCACCATCTTGTTTCAATTCTAGTTAAAAAAACAATGTCGAGATCATTTAATGCAAAACTCGAGACTTAAAAACAATAATCCACAAACAATGAGTGACTTCATGTTGACTATGTCTGTTTGTTTGCACAACATTTTTTATCTTTATTGGAAGAATTTCCATCCCTTACCTAGAAAAATATGGTTAATATTACCACATGATAGATAGTTCTCCTTTAACATCAAGTGATTTATTCCCTCTTATTCCAGTTTCAGCATCCAAACACTGTTTCATATATCACCTAACCAAAACATCCCCTGCTTGAGTATTTCAAGCGGAAAGTTGTGTTATGTTCAAGGGGAAAGATACATTGAATTTCCTGAGTGCTGTGATAGCTGCGTGTATTGCGAGCGTCTCTTTCTCTAATGATGCCTCTTTTTCTCCACAGCCACACTGCTGAAGATTTGCATATCTTTCTAACACCACAACGCATTGATTTCCTTCCTTTTATTCCTCGGCACACACTGCCTTTTTGTATAGCTTTTAAAAAGGAAGTTATATTTCCATGAAGTGAGAATCCAGCTGTCCATTTACTGAGTACGGTGACACGGGTGCTGCGGTTTCATTTGGAGGCTTTTTACTCCCTGTCATGACTGACACACATCATAAAGCATACCACCCTTCAACCCACCCCCCAACCTTCAGAAACAGGACGTGGGGCTCGACGTCAGCTGCTGGCGGCTCCACCTGCCTCTCTAAGCCCCTCGGAAATCTCAACATCCATCACTGGGACACTTAGCACTGATGCTACTATAGATGCCCTTAGCTGTAGCACCGTTCAGCCTTCCTTACTTAAGACCCATTGCTGCTGATGTCCTGGTATCTAATGGACTCAACTCTATTGACCTCTTTATGAATATACAGTACCAGACCTATAGCCTCTGTCTATTTCTGAACATCTATAGTTTCATATTCATCATTCAGGAGCTCGCTGTGTTTCATTGACCCTCTCAGGTCCAGGAGGGCCTTGCCTTTTAACCATTATTAGTCTCTTTGAGTTTAGATAAATAACTGGGTGGGGTCACGTAATGAGCATTACGCCAATTATATCGAAACCTTTACGATCTGAACAAGATCAGTCCTGTCCGCTCGAGTGTTTCACAGTCTGGAGCAGTTGCTGTTGTCAGGAGATAAACTCATGTAGGGGGTGATGTTCAGGATGTTAAGGATTGTTATCTCTCAGGCAGTACACAGACTTCTGTTAGTAGTTTGAAGCACACAAGAGTGAAAATGTAGTCTTATCATATGCAATAACATGCATCATCAACAATATACCCTTAAGTGCCAGTTAAAGGCACCGTGTGGAGTTTATTATCCACTAGTAGTGCTATGGAGCAATGATTTTATGAGCAAGTCCCTGTTTTGTTTGCATGGAGTTGATGCACACTCCTAATAGTTTGACACTGTTCCAGGTATCTACCGGTGGCAGTCAAAAAGATAAAGAAACACAACAAGGTGAGAATTAGGGAAGAGGATGCGTGCTAGCAAATAAACATGCATTTAAAGCAGGTTTTAGAAAAAAGCGGGGTCTTAAAGGGATATGAACGTATTAATTAACTGAATAGCCAGTAACACATACACAAAGAAATATACTATACTTTTAGTATATGATAATTTCACAGGTCCACCCTGTGTACTGGTATGCTTATTAATAAACCTTTTGTGTCCATAGAAAAGGTCTTGAATATTATATTTAAACTAAACTACATTTAAAAAATGGGAGAATAAAAGTGTAGAGTTTATATTTTTTAAAGAATTGCATAGTTGAGTAAAATACCAAGGCAAATGTATCTTGGTTTTACAGAAGCCTCACTTTACCCTCTTTTTTCTGTGCAAATTCACAAACTAATGGTTCATTTTTGACAGTCACACTCTAGAAAATATGGTCTCATGGGATTTTAAGGACTATCTAACAGTGGAAGGCTGATCATTATCTTCAAGTCATTACATTTGCTGTGTGTATTTCTCCTTTCGGACTGCAAGTGGCCACATGTGTGGACTATTGAACACTGCAATACAGTGCTGATCATATTCTTATTTTCCATATCAAAACAACTTCAGTCACCACTGTTCTTTCCTTTTTGAGCGAGTCTGTTCCCAGAGGACATGCCGAGTTGGAGAATAAAGCAAAGATCTGATGGAGGAGTGAGATGAAAAGGCCAGTTGTGACAAGCAGAGGAAGGGAAGGAGACAGCAATTGGGGAGAAAACAAACCCAGTTATTGAAAGGAAGGCATGGGTGTTTGTCACTCAGCGGTGTGAAAATGCATCCTGACACCCGTTTATCACTGTATATTTAGGAATCTGAATTGTTAGAAGGAATTCACAAATTTGAATACATTTGCATCATCCCCGCTTCTCAAATATCAAAGCTCAATGAGGCTTTATATCCTTGTCCTCAAAAGTGAAGGCCTTTGAATTGTTACAACGTGTGAAACGTGAATCGCAAAGTCTAGATCCACTTATTGTATCAGTATCCTAACCAGCGTGTAAACAAACACAGGCGCACAGGTGTGAATTGTCTCTCACACACTTCCTCAGCGTTAGATGATGGTTTTTTATGACTATCTTCCAGATCCACCTCTCTCACTCGGCATCTACTGATAGCCATTAATCATGAGCTCTATGGTATTGTCAGCCTGGCCTCCCCTCCTCCACTCCCCTCTCCCTCTCCTCCCTCCCCCCCTTGACTTCCAGCCTGTCAGTTAACAAGCTGTGACACCATGACAGTGATGTGTGTGCAACTGAGTGATGGCTTGCTGCAACCCTTATTGGAAAGGTATTGAAATGCCGCGACTCGGAGGGAGTTGTGATGAGATTGTATTTTTCAGCTTCTTATGATAAAATGTAGAAATGGAAGCTCAGCTTTGTTATTCAATTAGATGTGGAGGAGGGAGCGCCTTGTTTTAGGTTGTTCCTCTGACAACATGATTTACTGTGGCATGCAATCAGCTCTGTTGCACAAAATCCCATGTTTTTATTTCAGACACGATATAGAAAAATAACTCTGTAGCAAAAAAACATAACACTTTTTACTCATGTGTTTGTGTGTGCAGGCTCAGTGTCCCTCAGTGTGTTCCTGGTCTCCCTCGCAGTGACAGTGTGTACTGTTTGGCTGGTGGCTCTTTGTGGCGTCTGTGGTTGGTGTCAACGCAAGCTGGTGAGTTTACACACACTCACTCACTCACTCACTCACTCACTCACAAATGAACACAGACACACACGGACACACATTAGCTGCCATCTTAACATGCTTTAATAATCAGAGAACCTTAATAAACATTGTCTGCTGTGAGTATCCTTGAGAAAGACACTTTGGTGCATTGGAGAAGCAACAATGTGTTCAAAAATTATGAATAACTGTGCAAATATTGTGTTCTGTATTATTAAACTGAGAATTAAACACCAATTATTCATGAAGACATATAACCACTGGAGAAAGTAAAATACCCTGCATTCAATACTCAAGTCAAATTTCTTATAGTAGGTATATACTGTAGCAGCAAAATGTAGTCAAGTGTTTGTAATACACACAATTAAATCAACTTAAACAATATGATATATTATTATAGGTGAAGCTACCCGGCAGAAAATGTGGTAGTTGAAATACAATACAAGGCTAACCAACAATAGTGATGCTTTCACAATAGTGATTCACTTATTAATATTATTATTATCCCTGCAGCAGTCAGACTATAACCACCACGGCTCATGGTAGAGCACCTCACACAAGGACTGTAATATGTGCAATAATGCTGCCTGTAAATATAAAACTTTGTACAATATACCCTCATGTGCAATGTACGCTTTCTTTCTTTCAATTTATTTACAATCTGTAAACATGACCAGCTACTTCTATATTTGTACATGGTCTCTTTAAAAAAGATATGTTACCACTTTACAATAAGACTACCCTTATAAAGGATTAATAAAGGGTTTATAATTAGGTTATGAATGAGGTTGTAAACACTTTATTAATCATTAAGAACCATTTATAAACCAGTTCTAACATAGTTTTCATACATCAACACAGGCTCACTATTTGGCAAGATGACTTACCCCTAGATTCCACCGGGTCCGTCTGCGGCGCGTTACGGACGCGTTACGGCTGCGCCGTGGTGCTCAAGGTGATCGTGGCCACTCTAGTCAATGGGTGCTATTCCACCACACGCGGCGCGTTACGGCTCAGACGCGTCCCAGAAGCGTCCCAGAAGCGGCTCGGCGCAGGGCTTTTCTAAAATTAGGATCGAATCCTATTTTTGTCGCGGCGCAGCCGTAACGTAAGGTCGGGCAGGCAGGAAGTGGAACGTTCAGAGCTATATAGACCTATATATATACACACACACAAACTAATTTTGCAGACCCTATCCCTCCGTAGTCTTTCAAGTAGGAGGAGAAATGCCAGCGTTCTCCTCCGGTTTACAGGCACTGTGTAAATTATATATATAGAATAATTATGATGATGAATGCATTTTTTTTACCACTAAAATACAGCAACACATCTTTGATTCATGTCGTTTATAACTGGAATATTACAGTTATTATTAACTTTGTCTGTACAAAGTAGCCTGTCCAGGAAATATGCCCAAATCAACAAAAACTGCGAGCTGGCAGGCAAGACTCTCCGCTTCTGAAATGCTTCTGAAACGCGCCTGGTAGGGTATGACGCCGGAGGAGGCCGGACCAAAACCGCAGCGCAGCCGTAACGCGGCGCAGACGGACCCGGTGGAATCTAGGGGTAAGCCTTATATTGGCTACTTAGCGAGAATCAACTCAGTGAACAACAGATACCAAGGATGCTAGCTGATGAAGAAGACAAGTAAGCTAAGTAGCCAATATAAGGCTTAGCAGTACAGATAAATGTGGGCTCACTATTTGGCAAGCAACCAGTCACAGTTGCCCTGTTTATTTCATGTCTTATAAAAGCTTATTAATGATTTATAAAGTGTTCACAACCTAATTAATAAATGAATTACAAACTATTCGTAAACCCTTTATAAGGGTAGTCTTATTGTAAAGTGGTACCAAGATATACTACTACTTTGTTTTTTTCACCATGGTATACTTATCTGTTATTCGTTTTTACTTAGTGTTTTATTAATTATAACGTGTGCCTTCCTTTTTATACAATATGTAAGTCTACTCGTTTTACTTTAATCTGCACTATACTTTTGGCTGTAATGACGTGAATTTAACACAACACAGAATGTTGTAAAATAGTACATTATGTTCCTGTGTCTCACTTAAATAAGATTTTGAATGCTGGACTTTACTAACCTTTGTTAAGTACAGATACTTAAAAGCTCTACCTATTACATTTTCACAACTACGTTACTTTACTGTAAAAAAAAATCAACAGTTGCATCAGTGTCTACATAAACTGATGCGAGACCAGTACCAGTCCACTCAGTGAGCAGAAACAGAACACAGATCCAGCACACTGACCTCTAATAGAGGGCATGTCATTGTGATAATGTGGTATGAAATGTGATTGATTAAAGAGAGGCAACCACTCATTAGTCTGACAGAGCTGGATGGCCCAGTGCCACTTCACTTGACTGATTTCTTTTAGATTTGCATGCCTTTAAACTTAATTGATTTCTGAATCATCCTGTGCTTGTACAACCCAGGAACACAGGTCACATATTTTAAGTGTGATGTTGGCTCGAAACTTGTTTCAGCTCACCATTACACTGCTGTGAAACTTATTGGTCCACAGATGGCAGGACTTGGCATTGCAGCGGGCTCCTCACACCACATGCCTCTCTACTTTAAGTAATATACATTGCTTGAATCCCCAGAAGGTGACTGTACTTAGATTACTCTTCGATGTCGTTAGAACGTATACGAACCAGGGAGGAAATGATCTGTGCAGAAATGGGATAGTGTTACAGCACCGTCTTTTTGTTATATTTGATATTCCACTTTGAAGTAAATGGACCAGTGAATGACTCCTGGGTTCCAGCTGTGGATGAAGGTAGTTCTGCAGCCAGCACTTTGGAAAGTGCCCTGCGTCCTCTCCGGAGCACTTCTGTAAATGGATCTTATTTCCATCCTGTGACAGTGTCGCGCGGCAGACTCAGAGCAGGGCGGCCTGGTATAGGATGACAATATATCGGCCTTATGAGCCTGGGAAGGCCTCGGTGAACCACTTCCTTGCACCAATGTTGTCGCAATACTGGACTCCTTGATTGTATACAATATATTGTTGTCGTAGCTCAGTCGACAGAGACTTTGCTCTGGACCCCGAGGGTGCCCTGATCAAGATTGGATCAGACCGTGTATGCAGTGTGGACGGGTGCTTTGGGACTTGACACAGTGTGCCAGTTCACCTCCTGGGCAATGTGCAGGTGTCCTTGAACCAAATACCAGGGTGGGTTAAATCCAGAGGCTTTATTTCACAGTGTGTGCTACGGTGTACATGTGTGGCAATTAATTTCCATTTCAATCAAATGACATGTTCAACAGTATTTTCAATAGCACACAAATAGATTTACAGAAAATTAAGGGCAAACATATTTCATATTTTAATTAAAAGAGATTTTGAATAACATAACAGATTAGCGTGCTGGTAGCACAAAACAGCAGAATTTAGTAAACATTAACAATATCTAAAACTTGTATGCATTAATCACAACAATATTCTTCTTGAGGTAGTAAACATGTCCAAAAGCCTCTTATTTTGTCACATATTTGTTGGGTAATAAAGTGCTGGTAAAAAAAAATACTGTTATAAATATATGATATCCACCCGGGTGAATTAGACGAGTGACAGCAGGCAGACTGCTTGAGTGAGAGGAGGCGGGGCCCTGCAGCGAGAGTGTTAGCTCGCTGTCAGAGAGACAATAGTGCGGAAAATGAGTATTGAAAACCTTTCAGATATTCAGATTGGATATGTAGCGAAAAATCTATATTTTTTGACTGGACTACTTCACACATGATGTGCTTCTATTCAGATGCTGTTTTTGCATGTCTTTATTTCTTATCAGTGCATCTTACCCTGGGTACTTCATGGTGTGTGCTTGCGTTAGTGTGTGTGGTGGCGGGGGGTAACACAGAGTGGCATTAAGATGTTAATTAAGCCTCTTTGTAGTCTCTTTGGACGACTTACTTTGGGGAAAATGTCAGCCGCCCACTGGTGTGAAACCACATTAAACACAGCTGCCTAATGTAAACAATAATAAAGTGTGACAGAGATAAACGGTTGTCATTTATAAGATGATAAACGTGTTATTGATGATGCACAACAATTTGACAATGCATAAATACTGTTAATCTTATTTAAAACAATTTGTGTGATGTATTCTATATATAACTAACAACCATGAAGGCGCGGCAGCTACACAATCTGTTCGTGTTGCAGAAACTGTCTCCGCTCTCTCACTTCCCTTGATCTCTGTTATTTTCCATGGTAGCTCTATATTCCCTGAACACTTGAGTAGAATGTATACAGAATAATTTGCATACGCCCGTTAATGTTCAAATAGGATGCCTATAGATGCATACTGTATCTAGCATACTTCGAATCTATGAAGGTTGTTCTTATCAACACAGAAATCGTATTTATAGGTAAAAACATGCACAGTGGCTAATGCTCATTTCACATAAAGCTACAACAAGCAATTTTTTTATGTTTCCGAGTGTACTCTTTGACAGTGTCAGCTTTCATAAGAACCAATGTTTGCCTCAAGCTTCACGTGTCAGTTGCGAGTGGGCCCATGCCAGTTTTGGTTATGATTCATAGGTTAATAGACAAGACATTTTGGGTGAGTGTTGCTTTCGGTGTTTTAACTTTGGCAACCAGTGCGATGGATTTTATTTTAAAAGTCGTCATGTGCAGTCATCCTGAAGCCTCCCTCCTGCTTGCCTTTCTGTTATCCAACCCCTTTGGAAAAACCAAGCATTAAATGCTATTGTCCCTTTCTGCTGCCTGCTAAGTTTGCTTATTGATGTTTATAAAGCATCAGCGTGAGATTTTTTGAAATTATGCGCTTAGACAATATCATTTTCACAAGCACATTCCTACTCAGGTTTCACAGCCAGTATTCTTCTGAATTGATTTATTTTGTTTGGTTTCATATCCTGAAATGAGAGACAAAGGACGTAACGGCAGCGACAGCGAAACCAAACAAATGGTCACGTTGTGAGTAAGCTGCTGTG